GCCGCGCAGGGAGAAGCCAAACTTGACGCAGGTGTCGTCCTGTCGATAGATGGTGATGAGCAGGGGCGGGGACTGGCGCAGCAGCTCCGACACGCTGTCGCGGCGCTTGTACGCGCGCTTGGCATTGTGCTCATCCACCTTGTCCATGAGCTCCTGGACGTGTGCAGACATGGGTTCCATCTTCGCACTGTGGACGTGGATGTGGGTGAATAGAAAAGGGGGGGGGGAGGGCGCTTCCTTGGTGTTTCTAAGGGGTGGGGATGGCCTTCTTCTTCTCTTCTTACTGTCTTGGTCTTGGCTTAAAGTCGCTGTCGTCGCTGTCGTCGTCTTCGTCGTCGCTGGTGGGTTTGTTCAGAAGTCGATGTGTGGGTCAATTGGGAGCGGGAAATAAATGCAGTGTCGAGAGGATGCTTGAGTGCGAGTATGTGTTTGTCTCGCCAATACTGTTGCGCTTGGTCTCAGGCTCCCCCGCGAGGCGCTAAACGGCTGTCTTTCCGTGCTTCCGTGCGTGGATGTGTGTGGGTATGTGGGAATGTGGTACGGGTGTGTGTGTGGGTGTGTGGAGTTTCTTCGTTTGGTTTTGTTAGGTTGGTTGGCTCGTTTGCAAGGTTACGGCTTGCTGGCGTTGGTGGAATGAAAGCAATCCTGTGCTTGCACCCGTGCTGGGTATGTGGAATGGAGGTTGTGGGTTGGCGCAGAGAGTGTGTGCGTGTGTGGGTGCGTGTGAGAGAGAAAGAGTGAGAGTGTGTGTAAGCGTTGGTGATGGATGCAGTCAGGCCTTGTTGTGGTTGGTGGAGAATGCCTCGCATGTCGTGTGCGTTGTTTGGGTTGCTTGGGGTTGGATTTGGTTGGAGCTGGTTGGTTGGTTTGTGTGTTGGAGGGCGTGCGTGTTTTTGTTGGCGGCTTTTTGCTGTGGCGACCAGTGGACACATGACATAGGATTGAAGGTCTTCCTTGGAGAAATTCGAGGCCTCGAACAGACAGAATGAGCAAGTCAAAATGCGGGAAGATTGTTCTGATTGTTGTTGTTGTTGTTGTTGTTGTTGTTGTTGTTGTTGTTGTTGTTGTTGTTGTTGTTGTTGTTGTTGTTGTTGTTGTTGTTGTTGTTGTTGTTCTTCTTCTTCTTCTTCTTCTTCGACTGCTTTCTTCTTCTTCTTCTTCTTCTTCTTCTTCCCCTTCCTCCTCGTCTGCTTCTTCTTCTTCTTCTTCTTCCTCCTCGTCTGCTTCTTCTTTTTCTTCTTGGTCCTGTTCTTCTTCGACTGCTTTCTTCTTCTGCTTCCTCCTCTTTTTCCTGATCCTGCCCATATGCGCCTCACGCTCTCATCCTCCCACACGCTCTTCAACGCTACATACTGCTCGTTTAAAAAACGGGTTATGTTAATTCCGGTATCGCACAACCATTACAAAACAACTACGACTCTGCAGCCTCACCACACACACACACACACGACCCCTCTTCCCTGCCCACCCTCATCAGTAAGGAAAGTTGTCGGCAATGCCCAGCTCCGTAGCCATGGCGCGCGTCTGCGAAATGGGCGGCTTGCGGCCGTGCTTCTCCAGGAAATCACGCAGCTTGCGGTGCAGGTCGTTCTCGGGCCACACCGTCCCCGCACCGTAGCGCCGATAGAAGCGATCGCACATCTCGTTCACGGCCATCCCATTGCGCTGCGTCTCCGCATACTTGTCAAGCACCTCCTTCTTCTCCATGTTCCGCTCGTGCAAGAGTCGCTCCACAAACTCGGCTCCAGAGAGAGCCCCGTCCTTGAACTGCTCAACCACCTCCCGATGCTGCCGCATAAACGCCTCTGCGCTGTTCAGGATGAGCGCCAGCTGGCCGTTGCGGTCCTGCCGCGCCGTGCGCCCCTTCCACTGCACCCACTCCCGGTACGAGTCCGGGATGTGCGTGATGATCACCAGCATGCCGCCAGCATCGTCCACGCCTTCGTCCGTCACCTTGTAGTCGTGGCCGCGCCCGCCAAAGTAGTCGGTCACCGTCACGCGCCACCCGCCGCCAACCGTGTCAATGTGCTGCATGGGCTGCGTCGCCTGGTCAATGGTCGTCTGCCACCGGTCCTTCTGCGACACGCCGTCAACCAGCTCCAGCAACAGCTGCACGCGCTCGCCCCCCAGCTGCGCCCGCAACTGCCGCGCCACAGCCTGCGCCTCGTCCGGCGTGGGCGAGATGACCAGCACGGGCACGGAGTCGATGTTCTCCTCCACCACAGACGCCACCTCTGCCCGCTGCTGCTGTGCGCCGTCAACCACCTTCAGCAGGTGCTGGTGAGGCTCCCGCTTGCGCGCATCCGTGCACGTGTTCAGGAACGGCGGCACGCTGAACACCCCCGCGTCGTACGTGCTCTGCAAATACTCGCGCTCCGCCTCGCCGCCCACAGAGCCCGTGAGCCCCAGGATGAACGCGTACTGCTTGAACACGTGCGGTGTCGCAATAACGTAGTTGGTCGTCTTGAAGCTCGGGCTGTCGTTGTACCCGGACACAAAGTTCAAGTACTCCAGCGCGAGGCTCGTCTGGTCGGCCTTGGGGCGGCCGCGCTCGTTCAGGATGCAGTAGCTGCCGTCCATCAGCGCATAGTCACGGCCCTCACGCCACCCCTGCACCTCCCGACACGCTCCACGCGCACGGTTCCACACGTGGCTCGGGCAGCCGGCAGGCTTGCTTGCACGCAGCCCGCTGCGCTTGAGCGCTTGGAAGCACTTGTGCACGTGCGGGCTGTTGTCCTCGTCGCGCTTGACAAACGCGTTGACCGGGTTGTTCTCAATCACCAGGTCGTCCACCTCATCCACAATGAGCACCAAACCCTCAAACACATTGTGCCCCTTTGGCGCCTCGTGGAGATGCGCGCGCTCCACGTCAATCTGCAGGCAATATGTGATGTCGGCCTCGCGCGAGATGACGGTGCTTGCGGTGACGCTGGTGCCGTCCCGCTTCTTGAACTGCGAGAAGAATGCCCGGTAGTTGTTGTAGTCGCGGTCAAGCAGGCTCACGTTGTTCTCCATAATGTGCACGCGGCGGCCGTGCACGCACACAAAGTACAGCGCCATCATGATGATGATGACCGACTTGCCCTCACCCGTGCCCACCTCCGCAATGAGCGACCTGAGTCTGGACCCCTCCACGCCAAGCTCGTCTGTCGCGCCCCGCTCCACCAGCCGATAAAACGTGGTGAACATGAGCGTGGTGATGATCTGCGTGTTGTGCGGCGTCATGGGAATGGACACAATGTCCTTCATGCGCCGCATCCAGCGCCCCGTAAACTCGATGATAAACGCCATCTCGGCATCGGACGCCGACGCGCTGCGTGCAAGCACGCCCTCAATGATGCGCGCCTGCGCCTCCTCCTCCTCAACGCGCAGGTCCTCCAGGTTGATGATGGGCGCGTCAAACTGCAGCCGCACCAGGCCAAGCAAGCTGTTCGCCCACGCGTTGTCCTCCTTTGGGTTGTTGCGCTTAAACTCCACAAACGCCTTCTCGTAGCTCTCGCGCACCAGGTAGTTGATGAAGAACGCAATGACGTCCAGCCGCCGGAACAGCTCCACCCACGTGCTCGGGTGGCAGTTGTCCACGTAGTGCGCAATGCACCCTTCAAGCAGGTTGCGGCTGCGGAACGACTGCACGATGAAGATGGCGTCCGTGGCAAACAGGCTGCACTGCACCAGCTCGCCAAGCTTGAGCCCGGCCGCGCGCCGGTCCCACAGCGCCGCGTTGCCACCCACGCCCTGCGAGCTCACGCTGCCATTGGCATGCCCACCAATGTCGTCGCTGTCGCTGCTGCCGTCGCCAACAGCTGCTGCACCGCCTACATCAGCGCTGCCGCCCCGCGTCACGACGTCACACAGGCGGTTGAGGTTGCTCAGGATGGTCTTGGCCTTGTGCGGCAGCAGGCGGGACAGCAGGTGCCTCATGTCCTCGGCAAAGGTGGCGTATCCATCCAGCTTCTCGGCCACCGCAAGCAGGTCAAAGTAGGTGTCGCGCAGCTTGTCGACGCCCACGGCCTTGTCCCGCGTCATGGCGTCACAGGCGGCCTGGCAGAAGAAGTGCGGCTTCACGAGGATGGTGCCGCTCATGATCATGTCCTTGCACTCCGGCAGCACGTGCTTGAAGCGCCTGTCCAGCGCCTCAATCGTCATCATGCGCAGGCCCTCGCCAAAGCACAGCTGAAACACGGGCTCGCCAACCTTGTCCGCCCACGCCTGCAGCTCCGCGTAGCAGCCGAGCAGCAGGCATATGCGCACAAACCCGATGAGGATGAGCTGGAACTCCGTCTGCGTGCGCTCGTACGCAAACTCCACCGCCATGCTGTCGTCGTTGACGCGCGCGTGCAGGGCATCAAACTCCTCCCGGTCTGCCGCAGCGTCCAGCCACGTGCGGTTGGCGCGCGTGATCCTGCACAGGTCCGTGACGGCGTACATGTAGATGAGGCGCACCAGCTTGGCCATCTGCGCATCCGTGCACGTGGCCGCCCAGCGCTCAAACGAGTCCACGCACACGACGTTGCTGCCGACCAGCACCACGACGGCGTCGAACAGGACCTTTGCCATGGCGTGCGGGAGGCCGGCGCCTTGCGGCTGTGCGAGGATGGACAGCAGGTCCCCCACGGCGTCTTGAATCGACTCTGCGCGCACGCTGAAGTAGGCGCGCAGGCAGAAGGCAAGCAGCCCCGTCTTGCCCTTGTCCACGCACGCGTGCACAAACAGGCGGAACGTCCCCATGTGCAGGCCCCCGCACTCCGTGAAGGTCCTGATGATGGCTGCTTGTTCCTCGGGCAAGGTGACGTCGAGACACGGCAACAGCAGGCACAGGCGCTCCTTGTCCTTGCCCTTCAGCTGCGGTCCATCAAACACGCGCTTGAGGACGGCTGCATCCTCTCCGCGCAGGTACGCAATGTACCGGTCGATGTTGTTCTGGGCCCAGTGCTTGCAGGCAAAGTATCGCAGGTGGTCTGCGTCGAAGAAGTACGCCAGCTCCTCGAAGCAGGTGAGCGGCACACTGCACACGTCTTCTCGCGCGCGCGACAGCCGCTCCTCCTCCACCTTCATGGCCATCAGCGTGTCCGCATCAAAAGGGGACGGCTCTCCGGTGTCGTCTCGGTTGCTGCCGCTGCCGTTGGTGTGGTAGTCGCTGTCATGCTCGTCACCCTCATCATCAGGAATATCATCATCATCGCGCTGATGATGATGATGATGACGATGTTGGTGGCGATGATGATGGCCGCGAAGCAGGCTGTGCACAACACCGTTGCCATTGTCATTGTCGTCATCCTCATCCACTTCTTCATCGCTGCTCCAAGCCTCACCACGAAGCGTGAAGCCACGGCGAGTGTGGCGTGAGTGATGGTGCATGTGTGACTGTTGCTGCGATTGCTGTCGTACAAGGGGGTGCTGATGATGGTGGTGTTGGGTATGGTGATGATGGTGATGGTGATGATGATGGTGATTGTGGGGATGTGCGCCTTGGGCCATGCCATCTACGCCGTTGGCGAGTGGCTCGGGCTTGTTCGCGTCCTGCAGCAAGATGAGCGCATCCTGCCTGAGCAGCGCGGCTGCTCGCTCCGCCGGGTTGACGGGCTTGTCTCTGAGGATGGCTGGGTCGTAGTCAAGCGCCATGCACAGGAGAAAGGGCCACGAAGGGTCACGCTGCAACGCGTACTCGGCCTGTCTGTGGATGTACACGACGAGCATGCTGAAGAGGGCGCACTTGTTGATGGCGGACGAGGCGGCGGAGGTGTTGTTGGTGCCCGTGGTGACGATGGTGTGCTCCTGCCACGACTCAAGGAGCTTTGAGCGCGGCTCAATGGCGTTGACAATCATGCGTGTGTGCACGCTGTGGTTGAGGTGGACCAGGAGGTTGAGGTACGCAGCGGCTTGCTCGGCCGCCGTGTCTGGCTCGTGCTCCACCTTCACCAGGTGCGTGAAGAGCCGGTGGATGGTGTTGAGCGTGGTTGTCTGCTCGCTGTCCCTGCACAGCCAGCGCAGCCACACATCGCGGTACTCTGGCCGCCCAAACCCGCCGAAGATGGCCCGCCACATGGCCTGTGCAAACTCGTGGTTGCCCTTGATGAAGGAAGGCAGCATCATGCCATCGTTCCCCTCCCACGTCTGCGCCGCGTTCAGCGCCGCCACCCACTGCTGCAGGTGCGTGCTGCTGTCGTGGGCCGTGGGCGCGTACAGGCGCAGCGTGTCGTTGTCGCCGTTCTTGATGGTGAGCCGACGCTCCTCCAGCTTGAACGCGAGCTTGTCGCGCGGGCGGATGCTGAACGACTTGGCCCCACGCTTGATCGGGTGCATGTACACAATGGCGTTCGGGGTGAGGTAGAGCAAGCGGAGCGATGGCTGTGCCAATCGCTTCTTCGCGCGCACTACCTTGTTGTCCCTTGCCCGTTCCACAGACGTCTTTCGCATGGCGGGGGGCAGGCAGCATTGGAAGGCGGCGATGGGGCGTGGCGGTGCGGCCGTTTTGGCACGCGGGTTGTTGCGCCGCCGCGGTGGCTTTGGTGGCGGCGTACGTGCGTGCGATGGTGGTGGCATGGGTTGCGTGGCTGCCTCTGGTGGTGTATCGCGGTCGTGGTGGTGCTGTTAAAGGGCAGGTGGTTGAGGGGAAGGAGGCGGGGGGGGGGAGTGGAGGAGGAATTAGGCGGGGGGGGGTAAAGGGATGAAGGTGAGAAAAGGTATGGGTGGCATGAAGGGCATTCGCACGCATGACGCATGGATGTTCACAACACACACACATACATACATACATACATACATACATACATACATACATACATACATACATACATACATACATACATACATACATACATACATACATACATACATACATACATACATACATACATACATACATACAGGCAGACACACCGGACACACACGCAAATAACGCACGTGGTTGTCGGCGAGCCACTGCATGTCGTAGAGGGGCGTTGGGCGAGCAGCTTGGTGGTTCATGTTGGTTCGCTGGTGCATCACGTTGGTGGCAGCAGAGTAGAAGAAGCGGTCACCATCGTCGTTTGAATCTGGCGGCAGCGGGACCGTCCCTTTGGTGGTGGCGGCGTTGCCCTTCACGGGGGACAGAGGCGGTGCGGTGCCGTGTGGTCGTGAGGGCCGTGGTGGTGGTTGGGGTGGCTGTGCCGGTTGCGGTTGTGGTTTCGGCTTCGATGCGGCGCGATTGCCTGCGTTGTCGCTGTCTTTGTTGTCAGTCGGCAGCGGCGGTGGCGGCAACGGCGGTGGCGGGAGTGACCGGTTCAGGTCGTGCGAGGACGCATCACCACCAAAGCCTGTGACGCTGTCCAGGGTCTAGGGTGTGTGAATGTGTGTGTTGGATGTGTATGTGTAGATGTGTGTACGTGTGTGTTGGATGTGTGTTGGGTGTGTGGATGTATACGTGTGCGCGCGTGGGTGGATGTACGTGGATGTGTGTGTGTGTGTCAGTCAACCCAATTCACGTCGCAGATCACGACACAAGCAAGTGCAGCAGGCAGGTACAGCAGGTGTAGCAGGCAAGTGCAGCAGGTGTAGCAGGCAAGTACATACCTGAAGCTTGGCGAGGATCTTGTGGACAAGCCGTGTGGGCACCGTCGGCTGCACATTGCTGAAGAGCGTCCACACAAAGCCAGAAGTCTTGTCAGGGGCGTCGTCACTACGCTGGTGTTGTGCATCTGCCACGTCAATGCGGAAGGCGGGCTTGTCGTTGATGATGGCGCGGAGCTCGGGACGGGTGTCATTGCCGTCTGCGCGTGTGTCCATGATGACGACAAGCGTGCAGCACGACAGCTTCTGCATGACGTTGTCGCTGATGGGCTGATCTGGCGGCACTTCGTACAGGAAGGCAGACTTGCCGTTGTTGTTCAAGGTGCTGGCCAAGGCGCGGCCCGCGTCCTCAGCACGCCGTTCACGCGGGTACACGACCACATCGCACCGGTAGGTCCTGGAGCCGTCGTCCATGGTGCGCCGTCAGCATGCGGGGTCGGGGGATGGGTGCTTCTGGTGGGAGGTCAGCAGATCAGAGGTGGGGATGGAGGGAAGGGTGCTCGATCGTTTGCTCGCGTCGGCCTGCTTGCGGTTGTTGCTGTTGCTTGCTTATGGTGCGTGTTGGATCGTGGCTTGGAAGCTCGGGAAGAAAATGGCACGCCATGCAAGAGCAGGTGTGCGTGCTGTGGTGTTCTGTGGTGTGGTGTGTGGCAGGAGCGAGCCACAAGGGAGCGCGGCGTGCACATGCACCGAGTGACATCTCATTCGTGTACGTGCCCATGGCGGTCGTGTGTGCGCGTGTGTGTGTGTGCGATGCGATGCGGTGCGTGCATGCATGGCACGAAACTTGACGTGGTGCTGTGCTGTGCTGTGCGATGCGATGTGATGTGATGTGATGGTCCAGTTATAGCAGATTGTGGCACGAAACGAAACGAAATGAAAAGTGATTGGATGGGAGTTGGTGTCTCAATCAGGCTTGGGAAGGGAAGGGAAGGGAAGTGGGATGCGATGGCTGATGGATGGATAGATGGATGGACGCTGGCTTGGCGGGGGGGGGGAAGCAGAGGTGCACGAACCACCACACAAACAAAAACAGCGAGCAGCGTCCGCTCGAGCGAGCAGTTTGCGACAGCATGAAATGCATGGAGCATCGCGAGGGGTCCACAACTCATCATCCACATCGCGCATGTTTGGCGCTTTATTTCTTCATGAATGAAATGTACCACCTGCGGAATAAGGGCGAAGCGACTCTTTCAAACACACCACACCACATCACACCACACCACAACACACGCTACTCTCCTTGGCCATCATCCTCAGCTGCTGCTGTGGATGCGATGGTGTGGAGGAGGGTGGATGCCGGGCCTGCCACGCCCTGCTGTGCACCGTACGCCTGCAGCAAGTTGTGCACGAGGTTGAAGTCCAGAGCAATCGGCGACGCCTCATCGTCCCCACCACGCTCGGCGCTGCTTTCGCTGTCGTGTGGGGTTGGCGCTGTCTCGTCCGCCGCGCTCAACGGATCCTGATGATTTGCATGATTGTGAATATGATAACGTGAGCCAGAGCACCGCAAACAAAACCACGATATGCACACACACACACACGCAGACAGACAGACACACACAGATACAGACACAGACACAGACACACAGACACGCACACACAGACAAACACAATACACAGACAGACACGCACGCACACAGACAGACACGCACGCACGCACGCACACACACACGCACACACACAACCCACACGCACCTTGACGTATCCGTGCTTGACATATGTGCCCTTGAGCTCGCGTTCAATCTGATCATGCACGTCTGCAAACGGGTCCTCTGTACCATCCTCCCCTTCCGCTTTCTCCTTGCGGGCGCTGGTACCCTGCGCTCGCTGCTCTCCTCTTTTGCCAACGCCTTCTCTTCTCCCTGCTTCTCCTGCCTCAACATCTTCAGCAAAGTGCACCCGCCGCGTGTCCTGCTGCTGCTTTTTGTGCTGCTTCTTCTGTTTCCTGTTTCCACGTCCACCAGCAGCGGTCACACCAGCCTTCATGTCGTCGCCTCCCGTCATTGCATCGCCATCACCGCCATCATCTGCCACTTGCTGTAAGAGCGTGCGAAGACCGGACAGGAACTGCTCTGCGTCCAGCTGCACATCTTCATCACCATTCCCGCCCCACGCACCAACTACACCACCACCATCACCATCTTCACCATACTCATCATCACTGTCGTCGCTGTCCTGGTCTTCCTGCAGAAAGTAGTCATTCAGGTCGACTGCGCCCTCGAATCCGCTCTCCATGCCAACAAACTTTGAGATGCCATCAGCCATCGCCCGCAGCTGCTTCTGCACCTCCGCCTCCGCCATCCCCTCTTCACCACCATCACCATCACCACGGCTACCGTCATCGCCAATATTGCGCTCCTCCTGCTTGGCTTCCGTTGTCAGCAGCTGGTATGCGGACAGCAGTTTGTCCAAATCTGTCGGTGTCATTGTCATCCACTCGTCACTGTCCTCGCGAATGTGTGCTGGCGGCGTGTATTGAACACGGCTGTTGCCATCACCACTGCCACCATTGTCACCATGGCTGCTCCATGCGTCCATCTGTGTCCTGAGTCGCAGCGCCTCCAGCTGCACTGTGCTCAATGCCAGGCCGGCACCGCCATCGCCACGTGGCCTGCTGTTGCGTTGCTGCCTGCCCTCGTCCACCACACCACCCCCGTCACTGCCATCACCACTGCCATCACGCTTCTGGGCCCGAATCACATCCGTGTCGTCCAGCCCTGGGCGTTGGATATGGGTGCTGACAATCTCGTCTGCGGTGCGGCCGCGGGTGCGCTGCGATGCTGCCACCTTCTCCAGAAACGCCTGCTTGGCAGCCTGCATCTTCTCGCGGTATGCCTTGGAGCCGGGGATGTTGGCGCCAAAGTAGCTGTGGTGCTCCAGGCCCTTGAGAAACTGCTGGAAGCGCACATCCTCGTCAAGTCGATCGAGATCCAATACGGGCGCCTTGCTGGCCAGGATTTCAAACCCGCATGCGAGTTTGGCGCCAAGCGTGTATGCGTTGTACTCGCTGGAGGATGGCGGGGGCATGCGGCCAAACACGGGTGGCGGCTGGAATTGCTGCTGCTTCAGCTGCGCGTACATGCACCTGGACATGACGACGGGGCCCATGACGCGCTCGCTTGGTGGGAAGGTGGCCATCTTGCCGCATCGCTTCATGTCGATGGGATCACGCAGGTAGAAGCACGACACTGCCGATGATACTGTCTGCGGGTGCTCTTCCAAGTACTGTTGCAGTTGTTTTGGGTATGTGTGTGTGTGGGGGGGGGTGCAGGACAAGGATGGAGGAGGCGGTCACGTGGATGAGGGGCGTGTGCAGTGGACACATACACACACATGCATAAACACACACATACACACACACGCACACGCGCACGCACACACATGTACACATGCATAAACACACACATACACGCGCACACGCGCACGCACACACACACACACACACACACACACACACACACACACACACATATACACATACACACCACGACGCTCACAGAGCAGAGCAGTTGTGTGCATACCTTGAGGAGACGGGCTGGGAGGAAGCAGCGGGTGTGGTGCATGGACTCTTGGGCATGCTGTGGGTAGTGGGCGAGGCGGTGTTGCAGCAAGGATTGGACCTGGGCAGACGCGCACGTCTGTTTCGGGGAGCAGCGGATGGCGCGGAGGGCCTGTGATACGCTCGCGTCACCCTGCGGCAGGACGCCAATGTCTGCTGGGGATGACGGCTGCGGCACGATGTGCAGCTGGCCGTCGCAGAGGAACACGCGGTTGCGTGCCGTGTCGGGCTCGACCCATCGGGGAAGCGCCTGCGCAACCTCAATGAGCAGGAAGCTGCCGTCCGTGTCTTCCACTTTGGCAATGAGCGGGAGCTGCCGCGTGATCTCACGCAGGATGAACGTGGCAAACCACTCATCCTCCACGTTGTCGCCAAAGTTGAGCCCACCAACAATGCACGCTTCCTCGTCCACGCCGCCGCCGGCGCGGAGCTCAAAGGCCAGCGGGTCCTGCTGCCAGATGTAACCCTCACAATACCTCTCTGCCACCTTCTCACATGCCGTCAACAGCTCCCCGAGCGTCTCAAGCTCCACCCCCATGTCCTTCGGGTACAGGGCAAACCACATGTGGTCGCCCACAAACGTCGTGGTCGTTCGAGCAGCCATCTTCGCTGCTGTTGTGGGTCCTGTTTATGCATTTTTTTGTCCTGTCGAGTGACAGTGCCCCTTCCCTGTGTCATTTGCGATTTTTATTAAAGCTTCCCCAGCAGCCCTCGACCATTTTGCAACGCACCAACCCAACTGATGTCAGTCTCTCCCTCGCCACTGGCGCGCCTCATTTGGAGCACCTCATTTATTTGACCCCTCTCCCCACCGCCTGTCCTCCTGTCCTCTCCCTGCTCGTTCACCGTCTTCTGTTTTTGAGCTCCGACCATGGAATCCAAGCCCCCTCGCCTGTCACAGCAGCCGCCTTCCCTCTCACCCGCTGGCGCTACACCGCTTCTCCCAGCACAGCACGATGCTCTCACGCAAAACCCGTCCCCTGGAGTGCCGCAACAGGTCCACAAACCCTTTCGGTGTCCCGTTGATGGGTGCAAGCGCTTCACTCGTCGCACTGGCGTGAAGGATCATATCAAGCTCAAACATGCGGGCGCTCTTACTGAGGCCGAGTTGACTGCCTTGTTCCTGAAAGAAGAGCAGATAAACAAGAATGTCAAGCGATCGGTTCCTTGTCGCGTTCCAGGCTGCGGCAAAACGTTTCTGACAGCCCAGACCATGTCCGCACATCTCACCAACGTCCACAACATCAAGAATCCCAAGGTATGCTCGCAACTGTGTGTAAGGCCCAAGGCCGCGCATTTTCCTGCTTGTGTGTCTCTCTTGAAGGAGCTTCGATATCTCATGATGTGGCACTCTCCTTTTTTTCGGCAGGACCCCCACATCTTCCCATGTCTGATCGCTGGTTGCACCTCGACACCATTCGCTATTGTCAAGGACCTGGCGAATCACCTCTCCTCAGCTCATGGGGCATCGCGTCAGTATTACTGTCCGGGATCTTTCTTACACCTGCGATTGCTCTGCTAGTTGGCACTTCACATCTAGAGCGTTGCTTGGGCTGCTTGGTTTGCGAGGCTTGGGCTTCAGCTCACCCGCTCTGGTAATTGTGGGCAACACTTGGTAGATACGAGGGTGCGGTACTTCGACTCGATGGAGAGCTTTGAAGCTGTCATCGCTGCCTCCCGCGCGGATGAGTTTGTGAAAACGGACTTTCGCAGCCTTCATGAGTGGAAGCATGTGCCAGCGAGACAGAAGGAGTGGAAAGGAGGCCGAACCGTGCCTGTGGTGCTTGAAATTGAGAAGCGGTGCTCCCGGCACGCAGTCATCCGCGCACCCCAGGCAACAGTCCGTGTCAATCGTGCCAAGGGCACGAAGGCTGTTGGCAGATGCCCTGCACGGTTGTGGCTCCAGATGGCTGAGAGTGGTGAGGTGAAGGTGACGACGTTCAACTACCACTACCACCCGTTGGAGTTAAAGTACCTGGACGTGCCAAAGGTGATGCGTGCAGAGATCAAGCATCTCACTCATCTTGGAGTGGGGTATGGTGCAATTTACAAGCAAGTGTCTGCCCTGTTCGAGACTCACCCCCGCGTCAGGTGAGCATGTATCACTACTGTGCTTGTGTGTGCGTGTGTGAGTGTGCGTGTTGCTACCCCATGCAGTCAATGACCAAGTGTGTTTCGTTGTTACCTTCGTCTGCGTCAGTTATTCTTTTACACGCTCACGCACTCTTACACACACACACACACACACACACACACACACACACACACACGCTCACGCTCACGCTCACGCTCACGCACTCTTACACGCACGTACACATACACACACACGCTCCCTTACACCCTCACGCTCTCTCACACATACACGCACTCTTCCACACACCCTTACACGCTCACGCACACACACACACACACACACACACACACGCTCACGCTCACGCTCACGCACTCTTACACACACGTACACACATACACACACTCTTACACACACACACACACGCACACACACACACGCACGCACACACGCTCACGCACACACGCTCACGCACACACTCTTACACGCTCACACACTCTTACACACACATACACACACGCGCACTTACGCACACTCTCACACGCTCACGCACTCTTGCACACATACACACGCGCGCACACACATGCAGTGTCCTGACCAAGGAGCACGTCAGGAATATTGCTAAGGAGTGCGAACCTGGTCGATATGCCCCTGTCCAACAACGAGTGTCAACTGCTGTTAGGCTCCTGCAACAACAACAACAACAACAACAACAACAACAACAACAACAACAACAACAACAACAACAACAACAACAACAACAACAACAACAACAACAACAACAACAACAACAACAACAACAACAACAGCAGCAGCAGCAGCAGCAGCAACAACAACAACAACAACAACAACAACAACAACAACAACAACAACAACAACAACAACAACAACAACAACAACAACAGCAGCAGCAACAACAACAACAACAACAACAACAACAACAGCAGCAGCAGCAGCAGCAACAGCAGCACCCGCCACGGCGATCACACCCGCAAGTGTACGCTTCGACAAGTTCCATCGTTCTTCGGAAGAGACCGAAGACGGGCTGCCCAACACTTACAACCACGACACCACTACGCCAATCAATAGGAAACAGCATTGGCAGCGCCAGCAATGGGAGAGCATGACATGACAGACGCAGCGGCACTAGCCATGACTGGACACCGACGATAGGGGAGCCGAGCAAGACCCCCAGGCCTCATGCTCTCGGCTTGCCACCTGCACATGACTATTCGTCGTGTATGTGTGTTTGTGACTGTGCAGCAGTTTTCGTATGCATGTATGTACTTCAATTGTTAGAACTGTGTACTTGAGGGCACATTAAACGAAGGCAAGAGGCATCATGCACATACACACACACACACATACGCAAATGCCTGCGCCCTCTCAGCATGGCTTGCGCGAAAGGTGAGACAATATCCGGATAATGTCCACACTCGGATAAAGTACGAACGCCACAACAGTCCGTGTGAGGACGATCAATATATCTGGGTAAAGGGGTAACAATGCGGATGTGTCGAAGAGAGAGCTGTGTTGCAAATTGCGGTGCAATTGAGCGAATGTTTATTGGCAAATGACAGGGACGATACACTGGCACTCGTTGTGTTGAGAAGACCACTGACGATGCCGTGGGACGAGGTGCGCTCACTGCTTGGGTCCTCCGCTCGCTTGCTTGCTTGCTCACTCGCCATGGATGTGTGTGCTCTCCAGCTGGTGCTTGCCTTTGAACTCACACGCTGTGCAACCCCCGTCTTGCAGGAGGATTGGTCGCTTCAGCTTGCTGCTGATGGCGCCACCGAGATTTCCATGCACGACATCA